TGAATCCGTTGAGATTTAGTGTACCCGAAATAAATGAAATCCAATTATTTTTCGCCTTTTTTTGAAATCGACCTGAATTTGTCTCAAAACGTTATACAAAGTCGAAATAACTTTCTCCGAAAAATCTTTCCATTTAATCTTGCGCGAAAATTAATAAGACTTGAAATAGAAGTAAGAAAGAAAGTTTTCTTTTTTGGCTTGGTTGCTTATAAATCTTTCACCACACAGTAGAAGTGTTTAAAATTGGAGAAGACAATGGAATCCCAAACAAACGTCCACGGCTGATTTACTTCCTATTATATCGTCAAGTTCGTGGAAGCTTGTAAATTGGCGAAAGAGATCGACTCGGAATCTGCTACTAACAACGATTTTACACACCCACCCGAGTTAATATATCGTCCGTGTTCTTTTGTCGGGTCTTCTTTATACTAACAATGGTACGACGTAAATGGCGTCCTCTACGAGATCTTTAAGGGCGTTAAAACGACCCAAACAGACCATTTAAGTGATCTTTATTATAAATAAAGATGTATGCAGTACGTAATTTAAAATTTATTATTCAATGCATTTAATTTTTGATTTTTAGCGAATCTTTAGTATAATTCAAGAATCATCATGTCAGAACTTACGTGGAAAAGTTTAGATACTGTTTTCAAAATAATAGCTTCCAGAACACTGTTGTTCAAGGTTTTGACTAATGGATACCGGATAGTTACCAAATATCGGGCTTTGATCGGATATTAAAAATCTATCACTTAGTACTCCACCATTCACAGGAATTAGTATCTCTTTTAGGTGTTGGACACTGCAGATAATGATCAATTTATATCAGGTTTGTCATTAACAACCTCATTGTAACAATCCCAATACAATATATAAAATCTCTTGTTGCAGTTTCGTCTAGTTTTCTTTTCTTCGTTTGTAATTCACTGTTATCGAACTGTCGCTGTTATCACTTTCGATTATTAATTAAAGTATCTTCTTTTTAATGCAACAAGCCGTTTTGAAAAATCACCGTTAGTTATTGAGAAATAAATTTTTGCAATGATCGACAAATTTTTCGTATTTTACAATTTTCACCGATTAAGTTTTAAAAATTCGTATAAAATCCAATTCTTGGAATATGAGTATGAAAATTTCCCAAAGTGTTAATAAAAGTGTCCTCTTTCCAATCAACCAACCCGTTTTGCAAAATTACTTTTAGTTTTTGAGAAAACAATATTTCAAGGTTTGATAAAATTTTCGATGTTGCAATTTTCAGCTATAATTTTAAAAATTCGCTATAAAATTAATTTCTTGAAGAATCCTTGTGGAAATATCACCCATTATTAATTAAAGTAGCCTCTTTTTAATTCAAAAAGCCATTTTGAAAAATCACTTTAAGTTCTTGAGAAATAAATTTTTGAAATAATCGACAAATTTTTCGAATTTTGCAGCTTTCACCGATTAAGTTTGAAAAATTTGTATAAAATCCAGTCCTTGGAATATGAGTATGAAAATTTCTCAAAATGTCAATAGAAGTGTCCTCTTTCCAATGAACCAACACGTTTTGAAAAATAACTTTTCGTTTTTGAGAAAACAATATTTAAAGTTTTAATAAAATTTTCGATGTTGTAATTTTCATCGATAACTTGCAAAATTCGCTATAAAATTAATTTCTTGAAGGATCCTGGTGGAGATATCACCAATTATTAATTAAAGTATCCTGTTTTGAATGCAAAAAGCCGTTTTGAAAAATCACTTTCAGTTCTTGAGAAATAAATTTTTGAAATAATCGACAATTTCTTCGAATTTTGCAATTTTCGCCGATTAAGTTTTAAAAATTCGTATAAAATTAAGTTCTTGGAATATGGGTATGAAAATTTCCGAAAGTGTTAATAAAAGTGTCCTCTTTCCAATGAACAAACCCGTTTTTAAAAATAATTTTTAGTTTTTAAGAAAACATTATTTGAAGTTTTGATAATATTTTCGATGTTGCAATTTTCATCGATAATTTTCAAAATTCGCTATAAAATTAATTTCTTGAAGGATCCTTATGGAAATATCACCAATGATTAATTAACGTATCTTCTTTTTAATGCAAAAAGCCGTGTTGAAATATCACTTTCAGTTCTTGAAAAATAAATGTTTGAAATAATCGACAATTTCTTCGAATTTTGCAATTTTCGCCGATTAAGTTTTAAAAATTCGTATAAACTTCAGTTCTTGGAATATGAGTATGAAAATTTCCGAACTTGTTAATAAAAGTGTCCTCTTTCCAATACACCAACCCGTTTTTTAAAATAATTTTTAGTTTTTGAGAAAACAATATTTGAAGTTTTGATTACATTTTCGATGATGCAATTTTCATCTATAACTTTCAAAATTCGCTATAAAATTCATTTGTTGAAGGATCCTTGTGGGAATATCGCCAATTATGAATTAAAGTATCCTCTTTTTAGAGTTACTTCGTTAGTTAAATCAGCATCAAAAAGGTTCATTTTGTATCTTGGATTCAAATAAGTTGACAGCATCTTATCAGCTTTATTATAACCATAATGGCCGGATAGATATGCCGGATAAATGGATATCCGGCCGAAGGGGATGCCGAATATCCGGTATCCGGCTTTTCACAAAATCACTATCCGTTCCATCACTAGTTTTGACCTATTTGGACAGGCGGAATACTGCTTTCAAGACTACTTATTACTTTCAAAGACTTTAATAATAATTTAGAAAAGAGATATGCTTTCCAAAAAGCTACCTACTGCTTCCAAAATGCTAGATACTGGTGGAAAAGATTACATTTTGATTTGAGAAGACTAGATAGTGCTAACAAACAACTACAAACTGATTGAAAAGACGAGATACAGCTTCCATAAGACTACTTACTGCTTTCAGAGCATTATATACTACTAGAAACGATTAGGACCTGCTTGGAGAAGATTAAATATTGCTGGGAGAAACTATTATCTGCTTGGAAAGACAAGATACTGTTTCTAAAAGACTATTAACTACTTTCAGAATGCTAAATATTGTTGGAAAGACTACCAATTGCTTGGAAAAAGCTAGATATTGTTGGCAAAAACTATTTAATGCTTTCAGAAGACTATATGTATACTGCTGCCAAAACACTACTAAGTGCTTGGAGATTACAATACTACTGGCTGAAGACTATTTACTGAAACCATTTTTCTGTTAAGTGATATCTTTTTGTGTCCCTTCCATTACAGATTTAAAAATTGCTGCCAGAACACTCGATTCTTTGTTACCCAGATGCGATAACTTTAAACGTTACATTCGGATCCTCCTAATTTACTGATTTGTTTCAGGATTTTGTGTAGAAATTCCACTTTGAGTTAGGTTAATTAACATTTAAACCAGTGCGAATTTATCCAAATATTGGGTTAGACATGGAGTACAGGGTGGGTTGTAAATTTCGGGTGCGTCTTCAGACAGAGATTACATTAAACCCGATACTTTCTAGTTCTAGGTCTAGTGTTAGTTCTAGTTCTTAATGTTGTATAGATTAAAGTATATTTTTATTGAAAGAAAAGTAGAACTAACACTAGACCTAGATCCAGAAACATTCGGGATCAGCCGTGCGTCTCTTAAGACGGCTAAACCTGAATGTTTCTAGTTCTAGATCTAATGTTAGTTCTAGTGATAGTGTTAGTGCAAAATTAGAACACTATGTTGCATATTTTTATTGCACTAAAACTAGAACTAACACTAAACCCGATATTTTTCAGTTCTAGGTCTAGTGTTAGTTCTAGTTTTACACTAATTGTATCACCAGAACTAACACAAGACCTAGAACTAAAATCGTCTTGAGAGACGTGTGACGAAAACCGAATGTTTTTAGTTTTCGGTCTAGTGTTAGTTCTAGTATTGACATAGAGTCCATTGACACACAGTCTATCTAACAACAGGTATTCAGTCGTTATGCATCGAAAACCTAAGACAAACAAGGGTGTTTCATCCGTAAATATACGTTGTAATCTCAGCAAGTTTAGTGATAATAACTTTACATTTCAGTTTGATTTCAAACATCAGACAAAATCAGATTGATTAGGAGTTGACCGGTTTAATAGGAAAATGCATGGTTAACATTGCTTGTGCCGTCACATCGAAACTTTAATGTGATTTTTCGGTATGTTCCACACATTTCCGCACTTTCTTTTCATTTATAACGTGTTTTTCAGATTATTTCACATTGATTAAAAAAAAAACGTGAATTTTTAAGCCACATGATGAATTGATAAGTGTTAACCCAGAGTTAACATTCGATTAACGCCAAGTTAAGCGTTAATTACCGCCCGATTTAGATTTTGGTTAATTATTTTTGTTTTTTTATTTAAATAAAATTAATTTAAATAAATTTAAGAAAAGTTGAACCAAAATTCATCAAAGGAAACTAGAAATTTCCTAATTATCCCATTTGGTTTTCGCCCAAAAACCATTTTCCCCACTATACATTTTTTTTTTGGAAAATCTATCGCCTGTTACTTCTTAACGGCCGCCTCCTCTTCATTATATGTAACACTAACTCCTTCGAGCGGCTTTAAATATAAACACTCCGCGTCCAATTCTTCCTTGTTTTTATGGCGTCCGCGGCGACGCCTGATTTACGACGCCAGTTTACCTTCAAATGGTGTCGTCCCGTCGTAACGGCTATTTTCGGATTGCGCTCAAAGGGAGACGCGTAAATTAGAAATTACCAACATTTTTCAGCCGGTACCTTATACAAAGCACGGTTCGTTTTAACGATTAATTGCCCACGTCGTAACCAAGAAAGGATCTTTTCGATCAACAAGAGTGTGTTGCGTCGCGCGAAATGTCAACTTCTACCAAGAAACGACTCCCATAAACATACAATAAACGCATTTATAACGACGTGCTTTGTAAATTTGTAACTGTATCGGTTTTGATCGCTTTACCTACGCAACTTTATCGTTTAAGATTTATGTTAATTTCTTGTTTTAAATAATAAATACAACTGTATTTGTTTTTGTATTGTAGGTTGGCGCCAGTGGCTCGTCGACAACATGCTGTTTGTACATAGGTGAATAACAAAACGTCGACGTCGTCGGAGGTAAGTGAAATGGACCATGAATATTCAGCTAACTAGGAGAACTAGAGACGATTTATTATTATTATTTATTATCGTATTGATTATCGCATTGATTCAAATCAGTTGCAAATCATTTGAAAATCAAACGAAACGAAACGCGTTGATTTAGGGTTGATTTACACGAAACACAATTTTAAACTTGATTTCTAACGACTTCTCGTTTACTACAAAATAAAAAAGGCGTTTACGAAGGTGTACTTCGATTCGTTATTTCTTACCGGACACTTAAAGATACTCGATTTGCATTTTAATTATTTAAGAAACCGGGGTAACATTGATTTATTTCAACGAGACTTAAGGATTAACTTTCAGACACATAAAATGGGTAAAGAGAAAACGAACATTAGTTATTAAAACAGATTCAACACTAATTATTTTTATTTAGCTAAGGATTCAATTACAGGATATTCAAAAGTTTTAAATGCTACCAGAAAATGATCTTAAAGATCTTTAAGAAATAGATATTTACATCATTTCTCACTTTCCTAGATAGTGTTTCTTAACAATCATCTTTAAAGAAACAACTTTGAGGTAATCTAATAGAAAAATAATTTTTAAATCGATAAAGAAGAATAACATTTTTTCATATCAACCTTTGTTCTTGAGATATTTGACTTGAAAGTCTTAGTTTTTGTAAAAAATGCTCTCATTGATTCGTTTAAAAGAGAATATCTCAAGAACGAAAGCTAATATGCCAAATTGTTACTCTTTATTTTCGATTAAAAATTTACTTTTGTACCAGAAAATGATCTTAAAGTTTCTTAGGAAATGATGTCAATAAAGTAGGAAATGAAAAAATAAAAGTTTACCTCATAAATGTGATATTTTCTTCACTTTACCAGATGGTGTTTCTTAACCATCAATTTTAAAGATAAATCTATGCGCTAATCTGATAAAAAAATGATTTCTAAATTGATTAAGAAGAATAACATTTTTTCATATCAACCTTTGTTCTTGAGATATTTGACTTGAAGATATCAGTTTTTGTAAAAAATGCTGTCATTGATTAGTTTGAAAGAGGATATCTCAAGGACGGAAGCTAATACGCGGAAGTGCTACTGTTTATTTTCGCTTACAAATTTATTTTTCTACCAAAAAATGATCTTAAAGTTTCTTAAGAAATGATCTCAATAAAGTAGTAGATGAAGAAATAAAAGTTTACCTCATAAATGTGACATTTTCTTCACTTTACCAGATGGTGTTTCTTAACAATCAATTTTAAAGATAAATCTATACGTTAATATGATAGAAGAATGATTTCTAAATGGATTAAGAAGAATAACATTTTTTCATATCAACGTTCGTTCTTGAGATATTTGACTTGAAAGTCTTAGTTTTTATAAAAAAATGCTCTCATTGATTGGTTTGAAACAGAATATCTCAAGAACGAAAGCGAATACGGTGAAATGCTACTCCTTATTTTCGATTACAAATTTATTTTTTTACCAGAAAATGACCTTAAAGTTTATTAGGAAGTGATCTCAATAAAGTAGCAGATGAAGAAATAAAAGTTTACCTCATAAAATTAACATTTTCTTTACTTTACCAGATGGTGTTTCTTAACAATCAATTTTAAAGATAAATCTATGCGTTAATTTAATAAAAGAATGATTTCTAAATGGATTAAGAAGAATAACATTTTTTCATATCAACCTTCGCTTTTGAGATATTTGACTTAAAAGTCTTAGTTTTTGTAAAAAATGCTGTCATTGATTGGTTAAAAAGAGAATATCTCAAGAACGAAAGCTAATACTGTGAAATGCTACTCTTTATTTTCGCTTACAAATTTATTTTTCTACTAGAAAATGACCTTAAAGTTTCTTAGCAAATGATCTCAATAAAGTAGGAGATGAAGAAATAAAAGTTTACCTCATAAATGTGATATTTTCTTTACTTTACCAGATGGTGTTTCTTAACCATCAATTTTAAAGATAAATCTATGCGCTAATCTGATAGAAAAATGATTTCTAAATTGATTAAGAAGAATAAAATTTTTTCATATCAACCTTCGTTCTTGAGATAATTGACTTGAAATTCTTAGTTTTTGTAAAAAATGGTCTCATTGGTTGGTTTGCAAGAGAATATCTCAAGAACGAAAGCTAATACGCTGCAATACTACTCTTTATTTTTGCTTACAAATTTAGTTTTCTACCGGAGAATGATCTTAAAGTTTCTTAAAAAATGATCTCAATAAAGTAGTAGATGAAGAAATAAAAGTTTACCTCATAAAAGTGACATTTTCTTCACTTTACCAGATGGTGTTTCTTAACAATCAATTTTAAAGATAAATCTATGCGTTAATCTGATAGAAAAATGGTTTCTAAATTGATTAAGAAGAATAACATTTTTTTATATCAACATTCGTTCTTGAGATATTTGACTTGAAGATATCAGTTTTTGTAAAAAATGCTCTCATTGATTAGTTTGAAAGAGAATATCTCAAGAGCGAAAGGTAATACGATAAAATGGTACTCTTTATTTCCGCTTAGAAATTTATTTTTCTACCAGTAAATAATCTTAAAGTTTCTTAGGAAATGATCTCAATAAAGTAGGAAATGAAGAAATAAAAACTTACCTCATAAAAGTGACATTTTCTTCACTTTACCAGATGGTGTTTCTTAACCATCAATTTTAAAGATAAATCTATGCGTTAATCTGATAGAAAAATGATTTCTAAATTGATTAAGAAGAATAAAATTTTTTCATATCAATCTTCGTTCTTGAGATATTTCACTTGAAAGTTTTAATTTTTGTAAACAATGCTCTCATTGATTGGTTTAAAAGAGAATATCTCAATAACGAAAGCTAATACGATAAAATGGTACTTTTTATTTTCGCTTACAAATTTATATTTCTACCCAAAAATGGTCTTAAAGTTTCTATGAAAGTCATATTGATAAAGTAGTAGATGAAGAAATAATGTTTACTTCATAAATGTGTGCTTCACTTTTTCAGATGGTATTTCTTAACAACCAACTTTAACGATAAAACTATCCGTTAATCTGAAAGCAAAATGATTTCTAAATTGATTAAGAAGAATAACATTTTATCATAGCAACCTTCCTTCTTGAGATATTTGACTTGTAACTCTTTGAATCAATAGGTTATTAATTGAGAACACATACATAAAATTAGAAAGCCCATATAGCTGTGCTCATCGTTTCTACAAAATATGTATTTCTCTAGCTACAGTAGTTTCGTAATTGCTTGATTTCAATCAGGATTTCTGATCCTGGGGTAGTTGACTCTGGTACCTTTTAGGTTTTACTTTGAGCTTTCTCAATCTGATCTCCATCTTTCTCTGAATATGTCAATCTTTTTTGTCTTGGTTGGCAATGACTCGTCCCCATTGTGAGTTTTACTCAAGCAAAAATAGTTAACTAAGAATGTCCATGTAAAACTGATCATATAAAGAGAGGTTGGTGATTTTTAAATCTATTAGGAATTAGATATCTTAACATGATTATTTTGGTGTAAATATTCAAGAAATGTCATTTAAAATAAAATCAATTATTAGTTATGGCCACTTTGATAGTCGATTAAGTTGTTAATTTAAGAAACGGGTGTAACGTTGATTTACTTCAAGGATACAAGAGATTTGAGTTTTAAAGACACATAACAGAGCATGTAAAAAGAGAATTGAGGGCAATTTCAGCGGTCTTAATAGCGGTGGTACTAATTAACAACTGTCCACTCCCTTTTAACGAACGACGGCTAGCGCGTTTGCGAAGAAATTGAAGGCTTGACATTTTGAAGCACGACGCGGTTATAAATCAAAAGATCCACTCAAACGAAGCGTACATTGTGTTTTCTAGGTCCCCATGCAATTTTCGATTTGCATGCGGTAAATTGAACGAAGTCTTTAGCCTGAAGACGATTTATGGATATGTCTTATGATGTAGTTTTCCTTTTAACAAAAAATCGGTGTTTTTTTTTCGTAGATGAGGGTAAAACAAAAAAAAATAAATAATAGGGGGGAAGAAAATGATTCGGTCTCGGATAAAAATTTATCGGAAGCAACGCGATTTAAATGCTAATCCGTTTCGAGTGATCTTTACCGATTCTCCACTAATTTGGGGTTTATGTAAATTCTAATCCTTTGCCGTATAGGATCGGAATCGGTCATTCAGGCGTTAAATAATAAACTATAATTAGATAGCGGTTTTAGTTCCATTCCATCTACGGTGACGTTGTGGGAATTTAATTGAAACCGAATGGGATATTAAGATTATAATTGAAGATCCGTTTGTATTAAGAGCAGATAAATTTCAGATAAACGTCTATCTTTTGAATTAAAAAGATTGTACAAAGAGCTGAATGAATATAAAAAAAAATTTAGTATAACAATTTTGATTCTAAATTTTGCAACCACCTGATTGTTTTATTAACAGACCAGCTCTTTCACAATGGTACAAAAGAAACTAAATATTTACGATTCCTATTCCGAAATTAAACTCCCGATTCCATTGTGTCTAAAAAAATCTGAATCCGAATAAAAAAAAAATAACTTTGTATGAGTATTTTGTTTAAAGATTCTTTTTTTAAATTAACTCCATCGCGAGCTTTCTCACGTATTAAAACTGTCGAAATAATTCTTACGATGAAAACTGGGCCGATGTTATACCTTAGAATTTAGAAATACAAAACGCGAATTATAAATAAGAAAAACGAAGAAAAAAAAAGTTTGCAACGGTGTAAACACGTGAATAAGCGTTCGCACGTGTAAATGTAAAATATTCGAAGGAAACTCCCACGCGATTCTGATACAATTTTTGAGATAATAAAACGCGGTAGTTTATTTTTTGTTTATTTGGCTGGACCTGGAATTACTTTTGCGGAGGATAATTTATTTATTTATCGTCCGAAGCGTCGCGTCAGTTTCGTTGACGTAAGTAAACGGATTTAAGTTGCAAGAGGAAAAAATAATAACCAAATGATGCAATAACAACTTTTTGATACTT